GTGCATCGAGTTTGACAGCCTCCACACTGCACTGGATGTGTTTACACATTTGTTTCCTGCACCGTTTGAATGGGGTTTGACAAGCTTGAAGAGAGAGTGTGTGTGTGTGTGTGTGTGCAGGATTAATAAGCTTAATGCTCCTTTGGAAAGGCTGAGACTTATGTCCAATATGTATCCACTTAAAGCTGGTGGGTCTGCAGTTGGGGACTTGGCTGATGCTTCTATAGTATTTGGCATCGCTGCTGTTTCATCTCCACGGCGCAGATTGTCGATCGGCCATACTGTAACATCAAAACGAAAAGAATAAGCCATTGGTACATTTTAGCGATTTCTCAATCACAGTCTCGTCGAGTTCACTGGAGTTGCTAATTACTTACCAGTTATTTTCTTTCTGACATGACATCTAGACGTTTTACTGCTACGGTTTGGAGTGACATCCCCACAGTCTAATCATTCCTTTAAGACGGTGCTATAGTAACAGTTTACACACATCTGCCTCTGTTTTCTAATGTTGACTGCAACATTGTCCCAACATGGCATCTGTTTCCAAACTGATGTGCTAAGCAGACTGTGCGACTCATCGAGGCGAGCCTTCAACAGCATTTTCAATTTACCTCTCAAACTCCTCCCATGCTGAGGAGCAGGATGGATGCGCGTGCTGCCTCGTCAGGTGCCTCTTTTGTCTTGTCCAATGCATCAAGCCTTTTTTTTTTTTTTTTTTCCCGGTCCCAACAGCAGGTGAAAATCTAATTATACCAGGATGACAAGAGGAGGTGAGCTGTTGCCATATTTTAGCAGCTCTTAATTGTGTTCTAAAGAATCTGTCTCGTGCGTTCACTCCCATGCCACTATGCACGTTGGAAAAAATATTAATAAAACCAAAAACGTTGCTCTCGTAAACAGTCAAAGAAAGCGCACACTCTTTTTGGTTTTGTTTGCAGCCCCTGCTAAGCTTAGTTATCACTTGTATATTCTTTGTCATGTTGAGAGGCAGGAGGACATCCAGCAAAGAAAACGCATACACATACATTGTAAAGGTAGTACATTCTGGGCTGCCCGTTACTCTGGGGTTTTGTCTTTTGAAGAATCCAGATCTTTGCTGATTTATTATATACATTAGTCCTGGCATGTCCAGGTTTTAAGCTTTAAACATTATATCTCCTCTCGAAGCTCCTCACTACTTCTCCCCCACCACCATCTTTGCTTTCCTTTAGCCGATTTTGGTAACGACGCTCAACACATAAGACGAGCTAGAGTTTAAGCCATTGATCTCTCTGCCTGTGCAGAAATCCAGCTCTACTAATTACAGGAACCCCAGCGGACCCCCGTGAGCGCTGCGATGCCCATCACTGTTAACCTCCTGATAGGGTTAATGCCTCAGGTTTGAGGCCCTCCTGCTCTCACCTTTTCCAGCAGCTAATGTGCTGCCGTGCCAGTGTAATTACGACCTGTCTTATGGTAGTGCAAATGAGCGCTCTGGGCCTGCCTCCCCCAAGCAGCAGAATAACACACTCCACCTGAAGTGCCAGAGCGGAGCGGAGTGGGCGAGGACGGATGGCTTTCCTTAATGGAGCGCCGTGTGTGTGTGTGTGTGTGTGTGTAAGCAGCTAATCGTGTCACGCGCCGCAGCCCAGATACATGTCAGCTTAATGGAAGCACTGATTATTTATTTATGGACATTATCGCTAAATTGCTGATTACATATTTTTCTAGTGTCTAATTTCTTTACACAGTCATTTTTAAACTTGAGAAGTGTGTCAGCTCTTCAGAAAAATGGATTTTTTTTTTCCCCTCCCCTTCCCTTTATGGCTATTAGAGATGAATATAATAGTCTCCCTCTCTCTGGAGGAGAGTGCTTAAGTCATCCGGTAGATGAGACGTGCTGTACCTGCATGTGCCGTTGTTCAGGACGGCCTGATTTCCTTTGTGGATTAAACGCGATGACCCTGAGTGTAAACCCAATGTCAGTTATCACAGACACCATCAGCACCTCTTCTGTCTCTTGCTGTCATAGTCCTATCTTACTGAGCTGACATTCTCCTGAGAGATTTTCTGATATCTGACATGTCCACTGGACAAACCGCTTCCAGTGAAAAGCTATAATCACATAACAACCATCAGCGCACTCGTTATCTGGACGCTGCTGTGTCATAATAGAGCGATCTCGATCAGCTGCAGACTTTCCTTTTGGCTTTTCATTGAGAGAGGTGCATTTAGGTTCATTTTTCTGGCTTGATTGGTAAATGTCAGGGGATTTTGGTGAGGGACAGTGTGGACTTGTTGAGCTTTCATGTCACAGACCCTGTACCGTTAATCCGAGCCGCATTAGATAAGGCTCTGTAGAACATGCTTTTATAGACTGGTAAAGAGGAACCAGATGCTGCATGGACTGCGAGGAGTCTGGCGGTGGGGCGAGCTCTGAACATCAAACAGATCCTCCGAGGCTTTGGTATGCCGAATCCTGCTGCTCTTCTCTATTAAAATGGATTTATCATCTGTTTTATTGGGCTAATTGACTCTCGCAAAATGAAACCAAATGGAAAATATGCTCATGGGGAGAAAAGTAGTCTTTTATATTTGATAAAGTTTGTTTTTTTTATTTATTTCGATGATATATTTATTTATTTTACGCCTTTTAACTATTTAAGTAGTCTCCTAGCTATCGTATCATCGCGTTCCACAGCCCCACTTAACTGCCCGGTATCTCTCGATTATAGCGGGTGATTGACTCAGCCAGCAAGACTCCACTCTATAGCAATGTGTTTCTATTTGTCGATGACAATCATCCACTCCAATCCAGCGAGGGAGCGACTTCCAGCAGTGCATTACTCTTTAAAGATGGCCGGTACAATAGGCAGGTGTCAGGTCAGTGCAATCAGCCAGGAGCACAGCGCGTATCGATCCCTCCAGCAGCACTCTAACCCAGATAAAGGCAGCTTATGACAGCATGCGAGAGAGGGCAGCTCTTCACAACTCAGCCCGGGTCAGAGCACAGAGGAGCGGCCCAGGAAAAACCTGTCAGCACACGAGCAAAGAGTGTTTAACACAGGGGTGGAGAGCGCTAAACACAGGCCTTTGAAGAGCTGGAATAAACTGAAGCAGATGTCCAGTGAGTAGGACGACTGTGTGTGTGTGTGTGTGTGTGTGTGTGTGTGTGTGAGCTGGAGTTTATTTATCTTGGGTAGATGGATTTATTGATGACTGACAGCACTGACACATTGTGCATACGTCATGCTTTCTGAAGTGCCTGAGGTCTTTGTGTTTTGTTCTGTTCTGAAAATGATGTCCTGAGCAACTTTTGGAAAGTACGAGTCTGCTTGTGGCAGTTCCTAAGCAGTACTGGTGCTCTGAACTTCCTGCACACTTCCTACACGCTTCCTCCTCACGAGCATGTGAAGCGACAGAGAAGCGACCGAGTCGAGCACAGACAGGAAGAGGAGTGCACGTCCATTAAAGCAGTCTCCTTCTGGTCATCTCTCCAACTTCAAGCGGTGTAACATTAAAGTTACTATAATACAGGGGGACTTTTTTTTTTTTCTTCTCACCCCCCCACCTGACGCGCGCACATCACAGCCTAGGTGTGCTAATGATAGGAGAAGTTCCGACACACACATAAAGACAGGCACACACCATTAGTTCAGCTCAGGCAGCCTTCAGAAGTCCCCTGCACCCCAGTGGGCCTCGTTCTGTCTAACCATCCTTATGTTTGTCTCCAGAGATCCATTTCTACATGGTTCCGTGGCTGAGGCTTTTCAGCTTACAATAAGACAAAGGTTCTTCGTAGCAGGCGAGCAGTAAAGATTTGCATCAGACTCTGGACTTTGTCCCTGCAAATAACAAACCGTAGTTATTTTTATTTTATTTCATTTAACCTTTATTTAACCAGGGTAGTCACACCGAGATAAACATCTCTTTCACACGCGAGCACCATAGTTACCGCAGACAACACGGGGCATAACAGATTCCACTCAAAAACAGCAGTGCAGAATCATTGAAAAGACGACCTATTATACTGAAATAATTCTCTTCTAAACAGCTGCGAATCTGATCATGAGATTAATTGCATTCATTGCAAGTTTCCGTAAGGCATTCCAAATTTGCATTTGTAATTACTTTTGAATTAAAATAAAAGAAACTATGCCAATATTTTATAATATCACCCCAGCATCAAACAAACAAACAAACAAATAAATAAATAAATGGAAATCCATTTTCTACTACAGCATCCAAAACATCACCAGAGTACATTGAAAAGAAGTTTGGCTTCCACATCTGGGCAGTGTATATATGGTGGGGGGGAAACGATGGCGTGGGGTTTCTCTCCAGGATATGAAAGAGAGTATTTACTCTCTTTACTCTGGGTTTTTTTGTTTTGGTTTGGTTTTTTCCACTTTTGGAAGCATTAGGAACTGACCTCAATAAAATTCCCCAATTATTTTCTCCTGTTTATTGTATAATGTTTGTTTGAAATACAAATAAAAAGAGATGCACATGTGTATATACATCCCTTGATGCTCCTCTGACCAATCCCCTCTTCGATGACTTTTGATGGAAGAGCTTCTCCAGACAGAATTGTGGTTATGCCATCCATTCATCCCGCCATGCATGCATTTTTCTATACCTCTTATCCTATATAGCGTCACAGGAGGCCTGGAGCCTATCCCAGTGGCACATTTTTAATAACAGATTTAATAGTGGATTTTTTTTTTTATAACAAAACCCTGATTTATCCTTTTCCTGACTTGTTTTGATAGTTCCTTGGTTTTCATGATGCTGTTTGTTTAGGTATGTTCTCAAACAAACTCTGGGTTCTTCCAGGACCCGGTGTATTTATATTGAGATCTTGTGAGACTTTATTTGCACACAGCTGAACTCCATGACTTCTGATGGCGACTGGTTACACCAGAGCTAATTTAAGAAAACCACTACTTGTATGGTTTTCTTTCTTATTTCTAAATAATTTTGTGAATTAGACTGGTTTTGCTGGGGGGCCGGCAGGTGGCACGGTGGCTTAGTGGTTAGCACGTTAGCCTCACATTTCCGGGAGTATGGGTTCGATTCCTGTCTCTGCCTTGTGAGCTTGTCCTCTGGGTATTCCAGTTTCCTCCCCAAGTCCAAATACATGCATTGTAGGCTGATGGGCATTTCCAAATTGTTCCTAGTGTGCGAGTGTATACAGTTGTGTGTACACCTCGTCCAGGGTGCCCCCGCCTTGTACCCCAGGGTAAACTCCAGGCTCCCTGTGACCCCGTGTAGGATAAATGGTACAGAAAATGAATGGATATTGATTTTGTTTTTATTTCAATATGATTTGACTATTTTGTGTCGATTAATAACATGTAAACATATTTCAGTTCCAAGTTGTAATGCTACACAATGTGGAAAGGTTCAAGGGGTGTGAATACTGATGCAACACTTTGTATCTGCTTGACATGGAGGAATTTTAAGTATAAAAAACAAAATGCCTTAGACCTGGTCATAATATATGAATGTAACACACGAAATGTTCCGTGTCTTCGTGCAAACATGTAATCGCGTGTTTTGTATCTACAGTAGTATAATATGTGGAGTCTTCTTGCCCTGGCTAAGCTTCTCGAGACGTCCTCATGATATCTTTGCCAAGGAGGGTTTCTAAGCCGTATTATAGGTATCAGCAATGATAAATTTTCCTGACAGCTTTGTTGGAAATCTTCAGCGGCATGCTTTACAGTACGGACTTGGGGAAAGAAAACGAGGACGTTTTTGGTCTGACTAACAACTATAGATATTTCCCATAATGTTCGCCCACTTAACGCGTTCTGTTGTAGGCCCTGCACCCAGACAGCGCTTTTTTTTTATTTCTTTTTTTTATTCCTCTGGCGAACAGCATAAAAAGCTGACACAGTCACAGTAAACACATGAAGGTCATGTCTCTCCTCTTTCCACTCTCAGCCACAAAAGCCTCATCTGTTTTAATGGAGTGTTCTCAGAGCGCCTGTGTTAGCCTGTGTAAAAGCACTAGTCTCTCCATGATGTACCCTTTGCTTATTCTCTCATTCGGCCTATTGTGTTCCCTCCCGCATTTTCTCTCCCCCTCCCTCCCTCCCTCTCCTATACAGTGCCTCTGAATTATTCTCAGTGCAAGATGAACTGTATCGAAGGTACAAGGCCAGCGTTTGGTTTCGGGTTTAAACGTGAAGGTGTTTCCTTACCTGCTTCGTATTCATTCTCACAATGGCCCGAGTAGACTCTCTTGTTTCTCAGTAAGAAGAGTCCAGACAAGACCTTTGTTTTCCACTTCATCAGATGCAAGTATGCTTTTTTTTTTTTTTTTTTTTTCCCTCTTGCCCCCCTTTTTCTTCTTTCCCTCCTCCTAGAACAAGGGCTGGAGAGCAGCCATGTCTTTGCTCTCAGACGGCTCTCGTAGGCCACGCTAAGCCACTGAGAGGGGAAATCGCTTCATGTGTTTGGACTAGCTCTCTTCTGCTTGACTGCAGTTCTGATACAGTCGGGGTAATTCAGCGTGCTAAACAGTTTTTGTAGAGTTTCAGTCCTGACAAACAAACTGCTCTGTGTAAAAGTTAGTGATCTGTACTGTGTCCTATTGCCACAATCACATCAAACACTGGACATTTATTGTTGTTGTTTTTTTTGTTAAGTGCACCTGTTTTGTGTGCTTACACATAGTGCTCTGTTTCTCCTTTCCCGTTTAAGAGCGGCCTCTCGAACAGGCGTGAGCGTGCTGTGTAAGCGGCCTTCAGGGACTATGGCTAAACGTGCCGGTTTCCCTGCATGCAGCACTTGGCCAAGGTGCCCTTTGTTTTATTGGATAGTCTCCGTGACCTCTGTGTGATCTCTGATGGAAGTGCTGCTGTAATTCTGGACTTCATTTTGTCATCGTTCCTTCTTATCTCCTAAAGCGTTAATCCTATTTGCGCCTCATCACACAGTCCATTATATCAAGCTAAACGCTGTTTACTGCTTTCCGACGTAGACTTTGTTTTCTTGTGATTGTCTCTCTCTCGGCACGGTCCTGAGGTTTCCTCGCTCGCTTTCATCCTTATCGTTGTTCGTGCAGACGGAGTGGTGACGATAAAAATGAGCTCCGCACCTCACTCCTTCCACTTATTCAACATATGCCCAGATGAAAATAACCTCTCGTTGTTTTTGAAAACGATGCCCACACAATGTGTTTACATTCAGTGCTTGAGTTTCGGTTGATTTTATATAAACACTTATGTTCAGAAGCTGTAGGCATAGTTTTTTTTGTTTGTTTGTTTGTTTTTGTTTTTAAATGCAATGACCTAATGACCGTCATTCCTATCTTCTCGCAGGGTTTCTTCTTGACCGTGTCCTTGGAGTCGATCTTGAAGGTGGCGAAGCACGCCTCGGAGAACAACAAGATCTTTACCTTGAACCTGTCTGCTCCCTTCATCAGCGAGTTCTTTAAGGATTCCCTAATGGAGGTCATGCCCTATGTGGACATCCTGTTCGGCAACGAGACGGTGAGTCAGCGAGGATCAGCCTGTAATGAGTGGTACATGAGTGCATGGGCCTCCTAAAACCATTTCAGAAATATTCCCAGCTCTGTGCCGTATAATTGTATACTTCTTTTTGTGAAGTATTATTGAGCCGGTTCTTAGGTATAGTGCCGTTTGTTTCTTTCGTATGCTAACAGTTACCAATAAGAACAAACTCTTAAAGATAAATGATTTAGGGAGAAAAATTATTAGTATTCCCACCCCTAATTTAATCGGACTGTGTCATTTCATATACGCGCTAATATATATATATATATATATATATATATATATATATATATATATATATATATATATATATATATATAATATATAATTTTTAAAAAGTACAGTACATTTTCATGGTACAGCCAGTGCTGTTCATTTTTGTAATAAAGTTCAGCAGTATTTTACTCTGAGTGTTATGTTTTCATTCCATATCAATTTTATCGGTTGATCAATCGGTTATTGGTGTGTACTTCCCAAGTTACTTATCGTTATCTGTAAAATTCACTACCGGTTGACTTCTATCTACTTTACCGTCTTGTACTGTTTGCACACGTTTGAACGTGCACTTTATGTAGAAACGTGTCGGTTTAGTTTTTTTAGTTCCGTTTCATCTCATGTAGTCCTGTGGTGTTTTATGTAGCACCATGGTTCTGGAGGAATGAGGTTTCGTTTCACTGTGTACTGTACTATCTGTACATGATTTGAAATGACAATAAAGCCACTTGACTTGACTTGAGCACTAAATTAGGGTGCCTGCTCTGTAACCTCCTGTGACCCAGCTCACACGGTAACAGGAAGTCCTGCGTCTCAGTTGAAATCTTCATTTTCTCAGTGGTTTATTTAATACATCTTTCCGAGGTGAACGTTTGGAGTGGATACGTTTCAAATGATAATTTATCAAGACCATCTAGCTTACCTTTCAATAAAAAATAAATACATGAACAACCCTTATAGGTAAGCTTCCTTACATACCAAACAGAATATTTGCTCTTTGTTGTGACCAAAACATGAGGGCGATACAGATTGAGTGCAGGATAACATGTGACTTAAGTGTGTCTAATCAGTCCTCTAATCTGATTTTAAAACACTTAACGTATTGATTGCATGCATGTAACGGCGTTAAGCAGTAAAGAGGAATATGCATGAAATCATGCCTTTTACTATGTGTACACTGATTAGAAGGGGAGTTTGTGTATACAGTTTAGCTTAGCCTGTGATTTTCTGTCTTTGTCATATAATCCCTATGAAGGTGCCATCAGGGGGCTAGAGATTCCACAATCCCCTTCAATTACTCTCGTATTTCACGATCGGTGAGTGCCTTTGTCTTCTGGGAGTCATCACGGTTCCACAGCCGCAAGTGTGTGTTGTAGCACACTGTGACAGACAGGCAGTGTGGTAAATTGTGCTTGTGTGTGTAAGACTGCTGTGCGTCAGTCCTGACAGGCTGAAACACTGCGGCTTGCTCTGGATCTCCTCTCAGCAGCACCACAGTTCTTCCCTCCCTCCTCTGACACGCTAACGGCTGATTAGATATTAAACACCAGTAGTCCTCCCAATCACCCAGCTCCCACTCGGGCGTCTCATGGCAGGAACAGCTGTGGTAATCCATTTAAAACCAACATGGCGGCCGCCTCCCTTTTAGCTAAACTAATGAGATAATTAAGCCGCTACACGTACACATCCACGTAGCCCGTTAGAGCCTTCGCTTTCCGCGGTATTACCGCATTACTCTTGCGGAAGGTTTTGGCAGCTGGATCTTGTCCGTGTGCGAGAGACGGGCCTTTATCTGCGCTCACAGTGCGGGCGCACCGAGCTCCTCGCCTCCTTAACTGGCACGCATGAAGTGTGTAATGTCCAGGGAGCAGCACTGGTCTAATTGAGTCCTTCCCCACTTCACGACATAAACCAGAGAAAGTGAAACGTTTCAGGAAATGTAATGGCCTCCAGTTAGGTTAATTAAGCGAGCACGCAGAGCAGTCCGAGCCAAAACCAGATGGCGCTCACAAATAACGCCATGCACATGCTTACCATAGCACGCACGCGCTCCGAGACACACACACATCGCATAATCACAAACAATTTGCCCTCTATTTGCCAGCACACATGATAAAATTCAACAATGTGAATTGTCATTAAGGATGAATTTGTGCAGTAGAGCGCTCAGACAATGTAGAAAAATGTCATGATTAATTGGAACAGAATGAATAACCCTGACTGATGTAGTGTAAAGCAGTGATTAACTCCAGCGCAGAGCTCAGATTGTTTTAAATAACAGGGGAGTTAAAGCTATGATTGCTGGGAGGTTGCGAAATGATTGAAATTGCTCCATTGCTGCTTATGAGACAGCGTGAGAGATAGAGACAGCAAGACGAGGGCCGAGGGAGAGCCGGAGAGAGCTGGCTCATTGTGCAGATCTGCCCGAAGGCCTTTTCCCAAAGACCTCCGCCGCCCCATCTAGCTCTGACATGAATAATATTATTGAGCTCCCCACTGGTCCGGACCAAAGGGGAAATTGGAGGGTTGCTTTTTGACATTTGCCAGGACAAAAGCAGAGGGATGTACAGA